TACCTCAACCGCCAAGGAGTATACACCTCGGCCATCGAGAGCGTACACTCTCGATGGGCGGGAGTGTACCCTTGGCTGTCGAGAGTGTACACTCTCGATGGCCGAGGTGTATACTCTCAACGGCCGAGAGGATTCCTCTCGGCCATCGGTGTGTAATCTGAGCGGCCGGGAGGAATCCTCCCGGCCGCTTCTGTGGGGGTCTTTTGTTTCATCGACCCCCAAACCCTGGTTGGTTTTGGAGGATCGACTCCTATACCAACCGGGGAATTTCTTTTTTTATTATTATTTTTTTTAGGGAGTCGACTCCCAAACCTGTCGAAGGTTTTGGGAGTTCGACTCCCATTTTTCGGGGATTCCGGGGCTTGGGAGTCAGCTCTCCATTTTTTGGGAGTCGTTTAACCAAGCCCCTTTTTTAATCAACATCAAACAGTTCTTTTTCCCTTTATATTTGCAAAAAAATTGTATAAACTATTGAGAGTGTAGAGCTAGATATTTGTACATAGTAACTAATATTGATAATATGAACAATCAAAACATCTGATGACCCATGCAATGTAAGATCAAAGAACAACTGAAGTGACCATCCAATCAAGTTGTTGTCGTTCAGCTGGCATCCAGAAGTGAGAATCAACTCAGAATCTACAAAACCAATTGGTTTTAGACCAATTGGAGTGGTCTGCCTGCACTCCTTGGCAGGGTCTTGTTTGACGCAATGTTGGCCCATCCGTTGATTTGACCCAAGGTTTGCCGGCTACTTGACCAAATGAGCGCTGGCGGGGGTACCAGCGCTTTGACGGTGTGTTTGCCAGCTGACCAGAGGCCCGTTTTCGAACGGTTGGGGCCTGGTGGGCAAGGTCCAGCAATTTGACAACCAAACTTCGGGCTTTTTTGCCAGCGCCCCGCAACTGCCGTGTAAATGGCGACCGGAAGTCCTCTGCTGGCAAAAATTGATCAGAGGACTTCCCGTCGACCAGATGGCTAATTTTAGACAGACCGGCTAAACTTTGTTTGCGGGGGAAATCTTGAGGTTGAACGATTTTCACTAGAGATGTCAGCAGGTACCCGGTACCCGTTTGCGGGTACCTGTTTTCCAAAGCAGGTACCCGGAAACAGGTACCGGGTGCGGGTGCGGGTGTCAACATTTGTGGTAAAAAAAGGCAGGTACCCGGGTACCCGCCTTACACCCGCCCTGGGAATGCTTCCCCTGAAGAATTTAATTTATCATTGGTGGTCCAACACTCCCTCTTTTGGGTGTGTTGGGCTGCACAAAGGTGTCAGCAACCCATGTAGGACACCAGCTGGTGTCTTACATGTGTTGCTGAAATAATCTGGTTGCTTTGTTGAGGCCGGAGGGTTCCCTCCGGCCTTTGAGATGGTGTACAGTCTTGATGACTGGAGGAATTCCTCCAGTCATAAAGACTGTCTACAGTCTTCATCAATGGACATTGAATAAGGCCAATGAGGCCAAGCAAAAGGGTAAAGCTAAAGATAGATCAGAGAGAAGATAAAATTCAAATTGGTGATAGAATAATTTGTTTTTCTTTATTTCTTTATTTTTATTTTATTCTTACTCATATATCTAGTGAATATCAATCTTATATTTACCAAGTCATGCAGAAATTCAATGGTGAGATTTCTGGGTATATTTGCCTGCAAAAATGTGCCAGGTACCCGGGTACCCGCCCTGGCGGCCCTAGCAGGTGCGGGTGTCAAAAATATTGGATTTTTGAGGCAGGTACCCGCACCCGCTACAGGTACCCGGGTATTGAGCGACATCTCTAATTTTCACCAGCCAATAAGCTTTAGCCCTTCCTTCTAAATTTACAATTTTAGACGACGGGAAGTCCTCCAATGGACAACTTCCCGTCACATCTGCGGGTCTCCCAGAAGTGATTTAGAGGCCTTGAAAGCTAGATTTCCCAGCGAGATTCTAGACTTTTCGGGTCTAAATCGACATCTGCAAGGGTCCCAGATCCGACGGGAAGTCCTCCAATATCACGTTTCCACCAGCCAATAGAGTTTAGGACCCCCTTCTAGATCAAGGGAAGTCCTCCAGTTTTTCCCACCAAATTGGCAAAAACTCTCAAGAGGTACATACCCACTCAATCTTCAGACCTATCGGCATCCTCTCATCCTCGGAGGACCAACATATCACAAAACACGGCTGTGGTTAGAGCATCTCCAATGGTCCCTGGATTGCGCGGACCCTGGCTTGCGGCCCTGGATCACATTTCACAGGGTGTCACAAGCCTGTCAGCTTATGGTCCACAGCGGACTCGCCATATGTACCGACCCGACAAACAGGCTGGACCATCTCTACATCGGCCAGACCACGTTGCGCTGGTCCATCCCCCCTCCACTTTTTTCACCGAAAGTTTTTGTTTAAGATCACATCACATTCTTTCTCATCACTATGGACCAAATGGTCAATCGTATGGTTACTCACTTCGTTGACGATGAGGACGATATAATTACTCAAATGCAAATCAATACGTACATCATCAATCTTCTCCAGGCCCAAAAGAAATGGGGAGGATCCGTGGCAGGAAGAATGACAATTAACCGAAATCGGCTTGAGGGAGACCTTCGACTATTCAACGATTACTTTAGCCCCACACCAGTGTACCCAGAATTCATCTTTCGTCGAAGGTTTCGGATGAATCTGGGATTATTTCGAAGAATTGCTGAAGATATACAAAATCATGATGCCTACTTTGTGCAAAAGCGTGATGCTGCAGGAAAGTTGGGCTTTTCCACATTTCAAAAAATGACCTCAGCAATGAGGATGATGGCATATGGCTGTAGTGCTGATGCTGTTGATGAATACACACGAATGGGTGAGCCTTTCCTCCCATCCAACTCTTGACTTGAGGTGATGATATTGACTTTGTGATTAGCTGAGAGCACCTCGCTTGATTGCTTGAAACGATTCTGCCAGGCAATTGTCTCGTTATACAAGGAAGAATACCTACGAGCTCCAAATGAGCAGGATGTTAAACGCCTTTTAGAAGTCGCCGAGGAGCGAGGCTTTCCAGGAATGTTGGGATCGCTTGATTGCATGCATTGGACTTGGAAGAACTGTCCAATGGGCCATCATGGGCAGTATACCGGAAAGGAGAAGGAACCTACTTTGGTGTTGGAAGCAGTTGCGTCCTACGATCTTTGGATCTGGCACGCATTCTTTGGCCTACCAGGATCCCTAAACGATATCAACATCTTGGACCAATCACCACTATTCACAAAGCTTCAAGATGGAGTCGGTCCCGATGTCAACTTTGAAGTCAACGGAAACGAATACTCGATTGGCTATTATCTATCTGATGGAATTTATCCACCATGGGCAACATTAATACAAACAATCTCCAACCCTGTTGGAAAGAAGAACAAGCATTTTGCAAAGATGCAAGAAGCCTGTCGAAAGGACATCGAGAGAGCATTTGGTGTGCTACAGTTACGATTTGCCATCATCCGAAACCCCGGTCGTCTTTGGAAGCTAGAGGATCTCTGGACCATCATGACAGCAGCTGTTCTTTTGCACAACATGATCATTGAGGATGAGCGAGATACACCTGTTGCAAAGCGATTTGATTATCATACACTCGACACACAAACCAACGACCCTGCACCCCCTCGAAGTACAGATCTCGAAATGTTCTTACTACGATACCAAGCTATCCGCAGTCGAACGACCCACACCATGCTCAAGGAGGATCTGGTCGACCACCTCTGGAAAAAGAAAGGAGAAGAAAAATCGAAGGATGGGGACGAGAGTAGTGAAGAGGAGGATGAAGATTGACCGATGCTATGTGGATAGCTCTTCTCTCTTGTTATGGATGCTGTCACTCTTCACACTGTTCAGTTTTTGTTCTCACCGATTGATAACTTTCTTATTCTCAGATCATTATTTTTTACTTGTTTTCAAACTCCCAATAATTCTTTTTCTGTTCTCAGATCATGCTTTTTGCTTGTTTTCAAACTCGATTGAATGACTTGTAAATTACATTCAAGGAGAAAAAAAAAACACTAATTTTCATTGTTCAAACGCTCCATTACTTTTTTTCTCTTGGCTTGGAAGTAAGCCCGCATTTCTTCATCCATACCCGACAAGTCTCGGCCCATCACCATGTCATCCGCAAACGAATCGAATGACTTCTGCTTTTGTCGAGAGATCTCCAAAAGCTCCTTTTGCCCTTTAATGAGGTCGGCGATGTTAATTTCGTCGTTTTTTCTTTTTTTGGCCGCCTTCGATCCTTCGGGTCGCTTGGAATCATCAGTAGCCGAATCGTTCGTCTCAGCCGAAGAGGATGGAATACTTGAGGCATCGGATGTAGATGAATGATTGGGATTGGTCACAGGGGTCTTCTTGCTGCTGGCCTTGGTTTTTGTTGGGGCACTCGCTTCCTCTGTGTGTTTGATCCACTTTGGAGAATGGTGTAGGATCCCCCAACAGTGATCCAGGTTGAAGTTTTTCCCTGTATCGGTCTTGAAAAGTAGCTTTGCTTCGACAACCTGCAAAGAAGAGAGAAAAAAAGCTTAATATAATTTGGTGGAGAGATGGAGAGAAAAATCCAATGAGGTACTCACAAGGTCGTCCACATTGGACCCGCTTCGCATCCGTCTTTCGACCTGCGAATAGTAGCCACAGTACTTGCTGACCTGGTGTTGAATGTGATACCATCGGTCCTCAAGTGGCTTCTTCAATCGAGTCGGGAAGGGTTTGAATCCCTTGGTCTTCTTTTTTTTTTCCGTGACTTCGTCCATAAGTTCTAGATACATCGCGTAGATTCGGTCCCAGAATGTTGTCTTGGTTTGATTAGTTCCTACGACAGCGTCCTTCGACGTGTTGAGCCAACTCGTGCAAAGGCTTTGGTCTTCTTCGGGTTGCCATTTCGGAGGTTTTGGCTGCTTTGGCTTCGAATCTGGACCTGCATCGTTTGTTGCCTGCTGTTTCTTTGGTACTGGTGTGTTTTCGTCTTCGTTTTCTTTCTGTTTGTTTGATTTTTCTTTTGCAACGGGAGTTTTTTGAGCGCTGGATTCGACATCAACGACTTCGACCATAGTAGCTAGGGCAGGGTCTATCACTTCGACCTCGTTGTTGGATGAAGAAGGCATGTTGAATGTGCGGTGTGGACAATCGATTTGAGGTACTGGTTGTGTTGTCGGGTTGGGAGGAGACTCGACAAAAGCCGAGGGTTTTGGCGAGTCGAGGTGACCCTGGATGCCTTTGGCGAGTCGGGTGGCGAGTCCGTTGGACCCCGGAAACTGGCCCGACTCGCTAAATCGGGGTCGCGAGTCCCGGTTTAGCGAGTCCATTGGAGATGCTCTTACAATACCACACTTCATGCATCATCTACAAATTTATATCCTGAACTGGTGCCGTCGGCTCAAGCACCAAAAATCCTGATATGTATCTTCGGTGAATGTGTTTCAGAATTCATCGGATGGGTTGTATGCCCCTAATCTGAAACACAGCTTCAAAACCGCAGTGTGGATTCTAGAAATGGTGAATGCTCGTTCAGGTCCGCCGTAGGTTAAATAGCTGAAGCCTGAGGGCTCTTCAATGCCGACAACACGTACCGTGCACATCACACCAGCCATCAAACACATCCTTCCAAGCGCTTGATTCCTACCTTGCCTTCTTGCAGGGCTGCAAACTCATCGAATCTCGACCGAGGTTATGGTTCTATCAATCAGAGCTCTTTTCTGCGCCGTTTTGTACGCCACTGGCGCGGCTCAACTTGTGTTATCCAGTCTAGATGCGGGGAAGTCTTTCAGTGAGTTACACTGCATAGCTGCCAGCTTCCTGGCCTATTGGAATTCAAAAATCACCAACGTTAATCTGTTTAACTTGTTGTTTTAGACGCGTTTTCGGACCTTAAGCCTGCGGAATCTGGCAGTTATAGCAGAGATATCATAGAGCCGATCAGACTAGAAAAAAACGATCAAAAGACGAACGCGTATCATGATTACAGATATGGGACTATTCCCCTCGGGCTTGAGGAAAGGAAAGGTGATTATTTTTCTTCAATGTTTTCTTGCCCTGCCTGGCTAGTGGGCTCCTTGAATAACACAACTTGCCTTGTTACGACGATTCCACACAGCTGAGATCCAATCGATGGTAATGGAACGTAGCGAAATTTGGGATGGGATTAGTCAGCTCAAGCCCAAATCCTTCAAAGATTTATCAAAAATGAAATGGGATCTAGAGTACCTCCATCAGACCCTCAGACAACCAACAGAAGACAGAATTTATAACCTGGGTGGGCTGGAGCCCTTTCTCGGACTCGGAGTCGATACTCAGCCGGCCTCCACCCCAACTCATTCCACAAGGTCAAGAAGCGCCTTGAGTCCCAAAAATTATAATCGCTATTTTCGATTGAAGAATTATATACCTTTTCGTAATTTAAACAAAGGGAAAGAAGACAATGCATTCATTTTTGAGCCACTGCTTGATAACAGTGATTCGCTTCATCCAACATCACCGATTTCCACCGACACACACCCATTCGCAAGCAACTCTTTCGACCGGGCTGAAGTTTCAAAAAGCAAGGAAATACCCACGCTTCTTGAGTCAGCTCTAGGAGATGGAGTCATTCCAATTGGCGACTTGTACATTCATCCCAATGGAGCGTTTAACTTGGATCAAAGCCGCTCCAACGATCGCAAGGTCCAATATTTGAATTCATTACAGGAAAGGATCATCGGTTTCAAATCTTTAGACGGAACTCCGGATCACTCGATAACAGATTTTCAGCTTGAATTTTTACAAGCTTTTTTTCTTTTGGGGGACCACATTATTCGGTATGGACTACTGCCATCCCGGTTCATCGACAGGATTGAAATGTTCAAGGCAAAGAATGTCCTTAAGATGGTTAATCTCCATGTGCAGCTCCTATTCCGAAGGTGGGGAGGACAGTTTTTTGACATTGACAAGACAGTGTTTCCGGACCTAGAATTTTTGATGTCCAACCAGGCGGTAAAGCACTTTCATAGATCCATAAAAGGTGAGCTTTTTGTCGACGTTGAACGTTCATTACCGATACTGATGATCCTTCTCCCACAGCTCTCTCGGGTGAAGATCAGAAGCAAGTAGTCCACCTCATCCTAGATACCATGATAACACAAGCGCCGCATCACTTCCCCTTGGGGGAAATGGCGAGTGAACGATTTGGCAAGGTTTGCGAAGAATTTCGCCTAGAATTTGGAGATCGAGCGAAACTCAGTCACGTACCAGACACAAACTACCAAGACCAAAGGGAAAAGCTTGCAATCGGCGATTCGATAGAAGATCTCATAAAATTCTTTCAGAAACCCGAGATGAAAACACGGACAGTCCAAAGGAGGATAGAATATCAAATTGTATACTACATGTTGGATTTTATTAACAAGCATTATCACTCAATCCTGCAGACAATCTCACAACAGAGAGAGGAGTATGGGCTTTTAGCAGATCAACTCAAACTCACCGGTTCCTACCTCAATCATTTCCGGAGTCATTATCAAGATCCCATAACTCCATTTGCAAGACATCTCAATTCAAATAAGTTTGCAGAGCAGACTGGCTCAAAAACTGGTGATGTTTCCTTCAGTTATTGGCTCCACGCATATTTTTTTACTATATTTTATAGCGGAAGTTGGATTTTGAAATAAGACCTCTTTTCTACAAAGAGCAAGAAATCAGAGCTTGGTTGTCTGGGAAATTTTGATCTTCTGTGTTTCCCTTCTGCTTCTATGCTCTGTCACCTATACCACTGGCCACTGCATGACATGGATCTGAAATGCAACTTACACTGCACTTACACTTAAAGAATTAATCTGATTTGTCATTACAAACAACAATTTCCCACTGGAGTAAAGCAATTGAAACTTCATAGCAGGTCAGATACTGAAAGGTGTGGCGCTCTGAACTCAAGTGAATTTCATTCCATTATTTTTGTATCTTGAATCAAGACCATGTTAATTGCTCCAAAACTGATGAATCATGATATTTGACAAAATTCATAAAAATTCATCTTGAAATGTGCTAAAAGTTGTCTTGAACTTCATACATGAACCGGCCTAGTGTAATGAACAATAACTTTGTCCAGATATGATCATCAAAATCCCCCAAAATATTTTGATTGAGGATGTATCAATTGGATTCAACCATATTGGTATTCAGGAATATTTCCATGGCATCACTAAACCAAGACCCTCTCTTTTACAGATCTGCTGTATAAAGATTGTCAATTCTAGAAATAATGATGGTAGCATTAGATATCTGAATAAAGACATGTTGATTCAAAAGAGGTAAGAGACAGGAATCAGTAGCAAAAGACAAAATGTCAACAAAGCTGAGAGGAATTAGAATTTCTGCCAAGGCAGGTATTTGTCAAGCCATGATTGAAATCTGAAAAAAAATTATGCAAATTGGCTGGGTTGGGTCTAGAAATAACAGGAATGATTGATCCAATTTTTTTGCAATCCAGATTCTAGCTAATTGGTTTAGACAAATAGGAACCAAACACCCCAATATGTATTGGATTGTTCTAGGTAATATTCACAAGAAAGGGATCAGCAGTTTTGTGCACTGGTGATGATGAAGTAAGAGATTGAGGATGATCCAAAGAGAAGGACCATTATCTAGGATGGGTCTTTCATGTACCAGTACATACTTGAGATTCCTCCTTTCTTTGCCCATGACTTATCAAGTTGTGCTACTCTAGGAAACACTGATCTCCCACCTAGGAAGCACATGCAATGGTGGTGACGCAGGATCATCTATGCAACATCATTGAATGATTCACTCACAGGTAAGGGTTTCTTCATTGTCAAAAGATTGAACAATTTCAAGTACTAGTTAATTATAGCTCAAAGAAAATATCAATTATACTTCTTATCAAAAGGCACAAGGATTTTTCTTTCCCTGGTGGGAATGGAAAACCCCTTAAAACATACATAGGACACAGTGATAGCTATCTATGCTCACCATATAATTAAATGAGACGGAGAATCGATCATTTGATCGAAGCTCTAATCAAGACATTGATCCAGTTTGGTGGGACACTACTTGACAAGTCTGAATTGCAACCCGATTTATGATTTTTTCATGTATACATAACAACAAAGAACAGGAAGACCAGAGAAAGTTGCAAGTAAAATATGACAACAGGCACAAGAAAAGAAAAAAAGAGGAAAATAAATTCCGTCCGGGACCGATTTGAAGCGAGTCAACCCGAGAAATGGCACATAGGATAGGATTCAGAGGAGAGGATGGAAATGAATCAAAGCGAAATCCAGTGGGACGGTGGAGATAGTCTATTTCTAATGTAATGGTTGGTTCTGGAGCCATTTATTGATCAACTCAGACGCAATTTCAGGTTGGTCATGGGGTACCTATTAATTTACGGAAGAAAAAAAAATAGATTGAGTGAGTGGTGAGGTTCTCCTGCGGATCTCAGAGCAGAATGCGTACCATGTGACCGGACTCATACAAGGAAACAAAGGTGAAGTTGCCAGCCCCCGGGCCGGCAGAGCGGACCATCCCGACATGACCTGGGGCGTCTTTGACAACAGTCGAGTTGCCGCCTTCGAGCGAGTATCGACTCAAGTACTTGTGCGCTTTGTGTTGGAATTCGTCGCTGAACTCGGTCTTCAAGGCCATCATCCATCTTTCGTTGCCGAGATAATTGCCTGAAAATTAAAAGACAAGTTTGAGTATCTTTCCATCAGATCATCTCATTAGGAGTGCAGGTTCAACATACACATGAAGTCATCCTCTCCGGCATAGATCAACAGTCTTACTCCGTTGCTCAAGATGTCCGGAATCAGGCTGGCCGAGTTGTGCATGTTGTCTCCAGACATCTAGGTTGGATAAGATTCAAAGTGGTCTCAGACAGATGCAGATCGATTCCAAAGTTCGATATGAGTTGGGGATGGCTTACTTGGAAGGCTCGGTTGACATCCAAGTTGCAGCTCTCGAATTTCAAGTCAGACGGAACACCAAGCTCGGTCCGGATATCATCTCGGTTCAAGTAGTTTTCAATCCAATTCATCTCGTCACTGATATCAAAATAAGTGATAAGACGTTAGAAAAGAAGAAGAAAGACTCCACATTTTGTTCTTTTTTCTTCTTCTTGAAATTTGGTTTCTCGATGAAAGGTTAAAAGAGTTCGGCTTACTAGCAAAGAGGGTTGACTTGACGATCACAGCCTTGACGGACGTCATACGGGTTCTTGTTCGCGTTTTGGATGGGCCCATAGATCGAGCTCCAGCAGTAAAGAGTAGCGGGAACACAAGTGAATCGCGAGGGGTTGCTGTAGCAGAACTTTTGGAGTCTCTCGCAGGTGGGAACTTTAGAGCGGATGGAAGCGCAAGTAGATTCGTCGAAGATCGCATAGGGCGAGGGAGCGCAGGCATAGTCCGGCACACTGGCAAACTGGACGAGTGGGTCGGTCAGGCCGTTTCCGATGATCACCGTGGATAGCGGGATGACCACCTTGTCCGTCGGGGTCAGCTGGCTGCCCGATTGTAAGTCGTTGTTCTCCTTGATGATTCGGGTGGCAATGTTTGGTGCATATTGGCCACCGTAACTCTCGGCAGCAACATGGAAGCCTGATTTCAGATAAGCGGGGAATCGGGCGTAGAACAGTTGGAGGAATGCGTGGACATCTTTGGCGGCTGTGATACTGTCGCTGACCGAATCGGAGCTACCTTCAGCATAGGAGTAACCTACGTTCACGGGTTGGTCGAGGAATAGCACATTGGCCTGTTTGTTCCAGCCGTGAGGGTTGGGCTCGGTGCTTTTGCCTTGGTCTCTTACGTTACAGGGGCCAAGCTCGAACAGGAGACCAGTAGATGAGGAACAGCCTTGAATCACAAAAAATCGGTCAGTATATATACTCCAAAGGCTTGTTTGGATTTATTGAATTCCGAATGGTCAAACTGACCAGGTCCACCGTTGAGCCACAAGACCACAGGGTCCGATTCGGGTCGATCTCTTGATTCGAAGAACCAGAAGAACAGATGCTTGGTTTCTGAGATATCTAAATACCCGCTGTACTGACGGACGGTAGGGTCACATAATCCTTCGGGAGATCTCACTCGAATGGCGTATTCCGGAAACTCGTCCATGGTGATTCTCTCGACTTCATGAACGATCGCACATACAAACATGTGACAATGTCAAAATGGGGGGTCAGTACCAAACTCCAATCGGCTCAAACATATTTTTAAAAAAAAAAGGAAGTAGCGACACATATTGAAAGCCACTCAACAGTCCACTCCATTTCGATTGGTGTTCGAGATTTTCAAATTCGGGTGAGGTTTCTCTGATATAGAAGGCGAGGAAGGGGATGGCATAAAGGTGATCTGTTGGCCGGATTCCAAGTTCCCGGACACGATAGCAGGGAGAAGGCCTGCGACCCCGAGTAGGATGCTCTTCGGTATCAACATCGCAAGCAGTGCTCAAGTGATGAAGTGACTATAATGCTGGCTGTTATTGGTTCTGTAGTATTCTGGATGAGGATGAGGCTGGCTTGGGAGGAGGTGGTGGGGAGTGGAAGAAGAACTTAAATGGATCGAGTGCTCCTGCTTTCACAGCATTGCCGGGGAGAGGCTCACACAACCGAAAGTCATGCAGATTGCAGATTTCGGTATGTTGTAGAAGGAGCTCAATAACATACAGAAATTGCTTCACAACATCACCGATCGATCACCCAATATCCAAAGGAACCATCACCATAGGAGAGTAATGCACCTTTTCGAACACCCGTGGTGTCTGTTGACCTCCCAGATTCTCTGGCCTGAGTGATCTGTGCACCTGAGAGATCAATCAAATGACCTAAATACATGTCCAACAATCGCTAGCGTTCACATCACATTCCTCCTTCCGTCTCTCCTTTTGGTAGAGCGATATTCAGTCAAATATTTTAGGGGTCAAAAGAAGAGCGATGTTCAGAGTGTCTGTCAGGTGTGACATCGGCCTATTCCTATTCACATCCATGATCCAACGCTTTAGTATACAGACTCCTGAATCGTACAAGGGAATCCTATAGACACACTGGTTGGTTGCTCATAATCACAAGTCTTTATGTAAAGAGACTCTTCATCTCTTTTCCCAAGAAAAAATGCGATCAAAGCATTGTACAAAATTCAAGACTGTACCAGAGTGTACGGGATTTCCTTTCAGGGCTGCTTATTTGTTCCTCACACTTTCAGAGCACCAACAATGATTATCACCAAAACTTCATGTTGCGCCTAGAACCGTAGAGCTTCGATGTATAAAGCTGCAACTGTTATGAGGGCTCCCACACTGAAGAGACCTGCCAATGGACGTTTTTTTACAAGTGTATAGATAAGGCAGTGAAGGGAAATATTAAGCCCCGTGATAAGGTCTTCAATGGTTGAAAGCAAGGTTGTGCGCAACAGAATAAAGCCTTCACACTGGTGAAAAATCACTCGGGATGCAGAAGCTGGATACATGGCACTGTAACAAAGAATCAAGAATAAAGGATGGCAGAGAGACAGTTTGCCTTGGGATTTCTTTGTACTGTGGCAGCTTGCTCGCCATGAATGTGAGCATGCCGTCAATCTCAAGGCAAAAAAGGAAAATCAAATTAACCAGTCAAGACAAGGAATACACAGTTTCAGACCGTTTTTTTTGGGCTGTGGGTAAAGCAAAAGTTGGGAAAGCAAATTTTCAAGTTTGTTGTGAAATTCTAATATTAAAGCCTGCTGGTCCCATTTCTTGACCAATGGATAGTAATCATCTGGGAGGTACTTGAGGTCTCTTGATCCCACTCTTCAGACGGTGGCTGGTCTAGATCCAGGTAATATCCTCATTCAATAGCAAGTTCTCAAAATAATGTGTCAAGTTTTGGTGCCGGGTACCTAGTAACAGGTACCAACAAACAATCTCTAGATGGGCTTGATACTCCATACTTCTTATTTGCTTGTGCTGGGTAGTCAACCCAGGCATGATCAATACCCTGGGCAAGAAAACCTATTTCTATGGATGGGGGGCCTCTTTTGAGCCTTGCTAATCAAATTATCCAGGACTACATTGAGTTTGCTTTCTTGTGTATGAGTATGACTGCTCCCAGATCTGTTTGGTGATTTTCTTGAAATAATGAAGCACCTAGGCTGTGAGGTAGTTTTTTGAGCAGAGATGATAGAGGGATTCATTGCATCCAAAAATTAAGTGAACCAAAGTAAATAACTGTATGGTAAGACCATCCAATCCATCTACTCTGTTTTCATCTCTATATGGTTTCCAGGTGTCTGTTAGGGAGCTTAACTTAAACATGTAGCCCTCCTTGGTCCCCTTTTTCCTTTTAAGGGTTTTCAAGAAGGGCACGTGGAGGGCTTCTTCTTATGCCTCTTAGGCCTGCCAGCAAAGGGCCTTTGGCAGGCTTTGTGGTAGAAGAAAGCTCTCTTCCTGAAACAGAGAAGAAAAGAGAGGGGGATTGTGCTGAACCCCTGTGTGGGAGGGTGGAGCTAAAAAAACTGCTTCTGCGCGTCCAGAGAAGAGAGAGACTGGGGTAGATGATTGGTTGAGCGGTGAGTGGAGAGAAGCTGCATGGGGCACAGAGGGTGTCACTATATATCACCCTCTTCAGCAGCCCTAGGGTCTGTGCTCCTGAGGGAGCAGGGCAGGTTTCAGGCCTAGCCACTCAGCTTAGGGCAGGAGCCCCAAACGCTCATGTTCTTGGACGTTGGCAACATCCGCTAGGGTGCTTCTGACCCCGCAAAAGGATGAACACCTAGGATTGGATTATCCATCTCAGTCACTTACTTTGAGTACAATTCCCTCAATGCCAATGTCTGAAGTTGTTGGCTTTATTTGAAGTGGTGGGGCAGTTGTGTAAATCAGCACAAATAGTATAGGAATGAGACCCAACAATCCATAGCAATCAAAGAACATTTTGACTTAATGGTAAGAAGTTGCCCCTGACTTCTAGGTGAGAGTTGAGTCACTATTCCAGATCAAATTTCCATGGCTTTGTTACTGATGTCATGATTCATCAGGGCAAACCAAAGAAAGAGTTTTATAATATCTAGCTTGTTGATTTTGTTTGTTTCAAGAAGCCCAGAAGTTTTAGGTTTTGATAAGGTGCATTGAGTTCAAGAAAGACTTATGAAATTTGAATCAACTTTTAATTGACAGTTTATGGCCAACACATGGGCTACTTCCTACATATTTATCTACACATTGGGTTGGTCTTTTCACCTATGAAACATGCAAGAAGGCTGAAACCATCCAGTGTCAATTTTCTGCCATAGTTTGGATGGTTTTCTCATCAAGGATTGGTCAATGGTTAGAATTAGCAAGCAATCAGGAGTGAAGTAGCGCCTTCCCTGCACAGGCTCTGGGACAAGCCCTGGTTGAAACTTACCACAAACTTGACGCAAGTCCCATGTACGGAATTTGGAAGAGCCTCAGCCTCAAGAGGTGCTGGAGCAATAGCAGTGCCTCTGTAATTTGTAGAGGGACTTGTTTGTGGTGTGACATCAGAAAACTACTTTGGTGTAGAACACCTCATTTCCAACCTACACCTTACAATGTCTGCAAACCTCAACTGTTTTCTGAGCTGGGATGATGGCCTGAACTATGCTGACATTTCCATCTACTCAATTTTTTCATTTTGAAGATGCAAGTATCTGATTTATTTTTTTGAAAATGCAATATTTTCAACTTTTTTTGTATGACATCAGCTGAATTTGAGTCAAAACCCGCATGCAAATTGAAAAAAAAAACAAGCCATTGGAGGACTTCCCGTTGGATCTGGAACCCTTGAAGTTTTTGATTTAGACCCAAAAAGTCTAGATTTTTGCAGGAAAATCTAGCTTTTTTGGCTCTAAATCAAAACTGGGAGACCTGCAGATGTTGATGGAAAGTCATCCATTTGCTTTGTTTTCCTTTTGTAGCTACAAGATAAAGATTACAAGGGTACAGAAAATGAAATAGACCAAAAGATGCACATCTGAAGCAGCAGCGGTTCTATCTGTTGGCATAATGACAAAGAGGGTGATGAAATTTGAGTCGATGAAGGGAAAAAGTCGGCAGAGCCGATAGCAGACAAGGTCTGTGAGAGGCTATTTTTTTCTTAATCAATCGGGCTAAAGTGCGATTGGAATAAGCTGAGAAGAGGCTTAAGTGTCTTCTTAGGATCAGGTAAAAACAGTAAGGACTGATGTTTTAATTACTTAATATCTAGAGATCTTTAAGTAGTCTAGATACATCATTGATCAACTTGTGGGACAGAGTGATTCATAATGAATAAGAAATAAATTCATAATTAAAAACAAAAAGAGTGACATGGTTGTGAAATGAAGGAGAAGGGAGATCAATAACAGGTGAAATTCCAACACGCCTCCTGAACTTGATATTGATCGACCGATGTATGATTCACAGATGGAGATCGGGGTATTTCTGTTGAAGATACTCTTCGTCTTCTGGAGTGTAACGCGTGAGATGAGCTGAGTGTTGTTTTGAAGTGGAAGCGACCGATTTGGGAGCGCGTTTGTCAGGGTGCTTTTGAAAACAGTTGGCCTCGGTGTGTCCGCTTTTGAAGCAATGAGAACATGCTCGGAATCCACGTTTGCAATGAGGACAGACGACTTTGGGATCGGAGGATTGAGTGTACAGCGTGGTTTGAGGCGTAATCACTGCTTTCTTAACCTCGTTCAATTGATTTTGTGAGGCGTAGTCTTCAAGTTTTTTAAGAACCGACTCGAAGGCTTCGGTTTCAAAGTTCATTGATATATTGGTCTTGAAGAATGAAAATCCTGAGGCAACTTATCAAGCATCAAGATTGTTTTGACTTGGTCATCCAGCGCGAGTCGAGAGAGAACAATCTTCTGATTTGCGGATCGAATAAGAGGTAGGAAGGTAGAAAACGATTCATACTCGATGGCGAGGAACTTCTTGAGAGCTGTAGTTCTGGAAGTAAGATCGCTGCCGGCATACTTCTGTTTGAGGAGTTGCCAAAGTTTGTATCCGTTGAATTCGTCGGTCTCGGGTAGTGTGGTACTGACGTAAGCGAGGATTTCTTGATTGTGATGTTGGACAATTTCAGCATACGCATCTTCATTGAGCTTGACGTAGAGTCGGGTGTTTTCTTTGTCTTCTTTAGGGTCAGGACAGGTGTGCTCGCCAGTGACGATGGTTAATGATTTAGCTTTATGAAGTTTGGCTTTCATTGGGAGCAGCCAAAGAGCATAATTGTCGGGAGTGAGAAGAATTTTAGATTCGCGAACTACTTCGGTAGCCATACTGAGTTCGAGCAAAGTGGGATCGTTGAGAAGTGAGAGTTGAGGTTGGAAGGTAGTTGAGGTTGAGAATTGAGGAAGGTCAGTCGATTTCGACTGTTAATCGTGATGAAATTTGAGTTGATGAAGGGAAAAAGTCGGCAGAGCCGATAGCAGACAAGGTCTGTGAGAGGCTATTTTTTTCTTAATCAATCGGGCTAAAGTGCGATTGGAATAAGCTAAGAAGAGGCTTAAGTGTCTTCTTAGGATCAGGTAAAAACAGTAAGGACTGATGTTTTAATTACTTAATATCTAGAGATCTTTAAGTAGTCTAGATACATCATTGATCAACTTGTGGGACAGAGTGATTCATAATGAATAAGAAATAAATTCATAATTAAAAACAAAAAGAGTGACATGGTTGTGAAATGAAGGAGAAGGGAGATCAATAACAGGTGAAATTCCAACAGAGGGATGTATGTTTTTTAATCTTTTTTAAAAGGGTAATTGAAGTAAATCCAAAATGATGCCACCTACCAATCTTGACTTTGGGCCTAAGCCTCTCTACAAGATTGTTCCCTGTAACACACTCGCAGAGAGGCTGCTTAAGCTCGAACTTATCATGTGTAACAGGATCACGGCAGATGCATTTTTGATGAGAACACACAGCTTGGATTTCCTTTGCACACAGAGATGAGGATCTCAGAGGTCTGGAGTCATTTGGGAATAGCTTGCACTGGGAAAAACCATGAACTTTCACGACAATAAAACAATAGCCATAATCATGCTGAGCGGGTGGCGAAACAAATAATCAGTGTTACTAGTACACAGAGAAAGAGGTACTGTTTTATCAATGGGTTATGATTATCCCAGTCCTACTTTGTTCAGGAACAATGTCAAAGGCTGCAGGTAACTTTAAAATTAAGATCTCCTGGTTCGGCACCTCAACTACACTAGTCTACTACCCCCATAAACATGAATTTGGCAAGTTTGGGATTTAGAACCACTGATGCACAAAGATCTGCTCCCAAAAAGTGGTAGCTAATTTGTATTCTTTTTTGGGTATTGCCGAGCTTGATTGTTTATTTAACCGAAATGACATGAGCTTGCTTGGGTTAACCGTATATATCTTGTCGTGTTCTGTCTTGATATGAATCAGAGGCCTTCCAACTGACAGGTTCATGCAAGCTATCGGGACAAAAGGCCTGCAAGTCTGATTGGCCTTTGACACACACACAAAAAGAAGTTGTTCGTGAGGGGTGATGAAGGATTTACGGAAAGAATTCGAGGAATTTTTTTCTTACCTGATCGAATGTGATTGAAGATAGAGACAACTTCGCAAGCGAAGGCCTTTGCATCAAGACGGTTGTCACCTTCGGCGACGTAAGCAACAAGCGTATTAATCTCCACGGAGCCAGTATCGGGAGAGGACGACGTCAGAGCCGCGAGCAATCTAGCGGCCAAGCCGCCTGCACAAAAGATAGGCAAGCCCGGAGCATCTTGCGGTAAGAAACTGGCGTATCTCGTCTGGATGATTTGGCGCAGTGCGGTGGGCGGATCCGGCTGGTTGGCCCGGATGTAATGAAAGAATGCCGAGGGGTGTCGTAGGTGGGAATCTGAGCGAGCCGCTGCGTCGACCGAAACGAGCATGAGAACTGATGCAAACCCGGCCGTTGAGATCCATGCCTTCATCTTGGAAACATGCAAATCTTTTCGTGCCTTTTATAGAAACAAAAAACGATCACTTATCAATCGTCGGTCAATCTAGATCAATCAACAACAACCGTTAATCTGGACACTGTTTAATTTTAATCGTTTCATTTTCATCTTCTGCTCTCGTACCTTAATCACCGGTGACCGTTGCTGGACAAATGTATACAGCTTGTCTGGGCTCTGATAGACTTGGATCGGGGTTGTTACTTGGTTGCGAATATCTTGAGACTGGGGAAGGTCAGATAGATGATCGATTGCGCCGATGACGGGGATGTGGTCTTGAGGATCGAGGATGCCGACCTTTTGGATAGGGCCGAGTTGTGTACTATGTATCATCAAATCGATCGCCAACTGAGGCACATTAGCGAGTGAGACCACCGGCTGTGGATCCAGAAACAACAACAGTTAGCTCTTATGGCCATCTTCCAGTGTTCTCTGCTAAAACGCCCGGGTGGACGGACGTACCAAGATCAAGATGGATCCTTTGAATATGCTCTGATCCAAGTTGGGCGAGCTGGGGATGAAGTACTGTGTCTTCTCCGGAACCATCTCTTCTCGTCAGTGTGTGTGGAAATTGGCCAAGGTTGACGCTTTGCTGTGAAGTCGCAGTCCGGTCGGTTTTGCCCAACTTTTACACTAAAAGTCCCGCCGCGATGCTCGCGCCGATCAAACCATCCCCTGGCCTGGCCGGGCCACATGGAGATGTGTTCACACTTTGACTGGTGGCTTCCCGGCCTTGAAAGGGGGATCTGAAGGACATCGTGGTCATTTCGATTATTCCAACCTCAACAGACCAAATTACACTTTCTTCAAAGAGAAATCATACATGACTGTCTTCATTAACAAATTTATAGCCCAGCCAAAGTAAAATTTTCTCAAGAGGATCTGTTAAGACTATAGGGGCACCTTTGCCATGACCATCCATTACAAAGGTTACCCACTGCAAAATGGACTACACAAACTTTGCCCTCCTCCATAAAATATATAGCTAAAAATTAAGAACAAGATGAAACACCTTCTGATTTGTATGTGTGGGTACACAAACAGTGAGTTGAATGAACAAGGTGATCCATGAGCAAAAAGGAAAGCAAGATCCCCATACGCATGGGAAACAAACAAACACAATCCAAAAAGAAAGGTATGGAATGGAATATTGGGTGAGATTTTCAAAGATCAGCAGTTTGATCAGAGGTTTTGAGCTTTTTGGAAGGGGTCTCGGGCGGAGGGATTGTGGTAGTGATGGTGGGTATGGCAGATGAAGATGACGAGGTGTTAGGTTGGGGATCGGACGAGGAGTCGACGGGACGAGCACGTTTCTTGACCAAGTTAGTGAGATCATTGATGGCTGCTTTCCCGTTGGTAGTCGATGGGTTGTTATTGACGGCAGCCAGGTAAACCTGCAAAGCTTTATCGGCGTCACTCATCGCTGGCGCTTGAGGGACAGTCTTCAACTCTTCCCGCTTGGCCTCGAGTTCGGCGATTAAGGATTGAGTCTCCTCTCTATCTAATTTCAGTTTGTCGGCCGCTCCAGCGTCTTGCTCAGCCTCCCCAGACGATCCGGTCGATTTTCCCTTGCCTTTGCCCTCAGTCTGGCCCTCAGATTTCTGGGTCAATTTCGCCAGTTGGGCTCTCATCAACTCGATCGCCTCATCGACATGTCCGATCGCTTGTTTCATCGATTCTCCCTCGTCCGGAATCAACTCGAGTGCTAACGCGATCATCAAGTGAGTCTCCGCGATCGCCCCTGCCGTTATATCTGTCCGAGATTTTTTGATTTCGAGTGAGCTTTTATAGGATTCAACGGCCTGTTCAAATTGTTCTAATGAAGGAACCAATTTTCACGAAAAAAACGCGTTGCAAAATTAGTTGGTTCGTGCGATGATTTGCAGAGAAGTTAAGAATCGTGCAGAATGCAGCTATAATGACGAAAGAGAGATAGAAAAAAAGGGTAACGTAACGTACCGCCTTCTTGGTGAACTTGTGCAATCAGATCATAGACATCGATCAATTTGTTCTGCAGTTTTTCAACCTGCTCTGGTTGATCTTTCGAAGAGTCGATCTGTGATAGAATCGATTGACGTGCGAACTCGAGGACTTGGAACGCGTTTTCTAATTCGTCTTCCACTGTCACCGGTTCCTCGGCTTGATCAATCTCCTCGTCTCCTTCCTCTCCTTCATCACCCTCCTCATCCGATGAGTCTCCGGAAAAGTGGATTTGAGGGTTGCCTTTGATTCCCTTGAGAGCTGGCTGGGGTGGCTTAGATGCACTTGCAGCGCTAGCACCTACTACAAAAGTTTCATAATGAAGAAAGGTTAATAGACTGAATAATTTGGAAATCTAGCTTGATCGAAATCGCATTTACCTTTAGAGGATGAAGGTGCATTGCCAGCCACTTCGGACGGGGTGTCTTCTGGTTCAGTTGCCGCAGTATTATGGGCATTAAGACCACCTGACAAGCTTCCCAAAGTAATCGCGTTCCGGAGCAATGCTTTGCCGTACGAGAGATGGGCATCGATAATCGCCGAGTGGTTCTGTGGATGATGGGTAGTCAACTTCTCGCATGCCTTCGAGAAACATTCCGTTGCGATCGCGTAATTCTTGAACGCGAACGCGCGTGCTCCTGCCGCCAATTCTGCTTCGATCGTGTCGATATCCGTGTCACTGGCTTCTCCGTTCTGGGCCTCTGCGACTGGCTCTTCCTTTGCCTTGGGATTCTCACTAGGCTGGTTACTTCTGTGTGCGATCATAATCAGTGTCGACCAGAATAGAAAACACTCTGAATAGCGGATAGGGGTTAAACCAAACGCTTACGATGAATCTGTCATGGCGGACCGGAGCACTGGAAAACGTAACTGATGTGTTTGGTGAGGGAGAAGGCCGAATCCAAGCTGGAGTTGCCCCCCAAACCCTGTGACGTTCAAACTCACGTGGGTCGGCACCGGGGGATCACCCGAAAAAGCTCGGCCAGTTTGGCCGACCCCGATGGCCCCCGGGCCCCGAGGTTAGATCACCAGAAAACATTCAATCAATCAATTCCTAGCTCATCGGGCATCAGCTCTGAAAAATTGGCCGAACCCACTCTGATATTACTTGCGACAGCCCTGTCCGCTCCCTCGTTGCGGGCGGCGTGAGCTGATTGAAAAATATTGAGTAATGTACCCATGAACATGTTGGCCGAATGCTGATATGAATTCTCGAAAAATGGGATCAAAGTGCTAGCTAATTTTAACATTTTGCAGGCTTTCTTCATCTATCAAATCAAGAGCACAATGCGAAAGTATCAATTTATTCCAACTTCGAACAAACCCAGCAACCTACAGTTCTAACTTGAAGAAACCTTCAAGAAACTGTTAAGAATATGTATACAACAGTACACCGGGGAATCTTGCGCTGTTCTCATTGCATGATAAATGGAGATTGTAGATTTAATTATTAATGAATTACAATGTGATGAGAATTGCTCTCATTGATACAAAGTTGAGAAACTTAGGATCCTAAAATCTTGGAAGGAGTCCTACGCAGTGCGTGCTTCTTGATCCCGAAGGTTCTTGAAAGGCACATGCAGCCGCAGGTTGTAACAACACCGGCTCCCGGGTCCTTTTCACATCTGTTTTCAACTTTTTGCTCTTCCCATTAAATTAAATTTCAAAGATACAGAAATTAGTCACGCTCAAGACTACCCAGCCCCTCATGAGCTTTGCAGAAGACGTCCCAAAGGTTTTTGCTTCGAAGTTAAATGCGTCATGTGGCTCTTACATTCAAGTTACTTGTCGCCAGTGCTCACGGAATCATGAAAACGACGGCGCTGGTAGTGTCACCGAGTGATTGCAGTCAAGTCTTAATTACAATCCGTTCCAAACCCGAGAAGAAAATTCACCACTTGAAGCTCTACCTTATAACTCGCTTGCCGTTAGACCAATAAACTCCAAAACAAGATGAGCTTCCTGCGTACATACATGTTTCTAGAGCCTATGTATACATACATGTGCCAAGTCAGTGGTCCCGTCCTTTTGGCCATGGCGGAGCTGGCAACCTCTGGGAACTGACAAGCCTTCGAGATAGACAAGGATAAGCATTATTCCCCCGGTGGATTATACTAAGCGTGTGATATTGTGTGAATTTTTGGAGCCGTTTTTGACGAGTTGGAAAAAAGCCAGACCAGTGAAGCCGACTCTGCCGAGACATTTGAATCTCTTCCCAGATCCCCATATCTTCCGATGACCGAATATTGGAATATAGCATTGTATTTTCCAGCGTGGGCCTTCAATCAAAAAGTTCCCCAGCTTGCAAGGCTAGCCTAATGCGAAGAGAGCTAAGACAAAATGAGCGATGATCAACTTGCACTGTAGCGCGATGAAAGCAAGTGCCTCAGTGTTGAATTTATCATTTCATGTACTAACCGAAGTTCAAGAAACATTCTCTGGTTTTGGATGTTTAAATCTGATGCCATTCAATGGAATTGATTAGGAAAAAATCCCTACAAGCTGTCAGAAGCTCCACCCCACTAATGATGTGACTAATCGCCATGCCTCTGCCACAAGAGGCCACAAGTCGACCGACTACAAAGAACTTTCTTTTATATACAAGCATCACAACATTTTGAGTTTATGCGCTCCCCTCCCCACTCTACAATTTCCCATAAGATACATACACATAGGGCGCTTGGAACAATGATTCAAAAACTCACAAGTCTCAAGCAAATCCGAACAGTCCATGGTTTTGGGATGTAGCTCATACCTATCAAGAGCTCTCAAGTTCGCTCCCCAACAAGCTTTGCTTCGAATCGGAATGTGCATATCTATGGAGCCGACCTTTCCACATCTCCGCAAGCAATTCGACAATTTCGTACCCGGGGAAGTCGATCTGCGAAGGTCCGACGAGCCGTGTTTCAAGAACCGAAAGACCATTCCTGGGACACAATCAGAACTACGTATATCGAGCCCCTTCGTTCAAGAGAGAAGCAGAAAAGTTAAAAAGCGTATATCAGTGTCTAAAAATTAAATCGAAGCGTTCGGGAGCATTAAAATTTGCCTTATCAAGCGCACAGTCTGTCATTACTTACAGTACACAACAGCTAGATTGAGGAGCTTCCTGGAACAGTCGAACCGTTTTTGCATATTATAGTCACTTTTGAATACTCTTTTCGCCCCGAGTCGCCGATGAGAAGCTATCTGGTTAGCTATCTCTTCATTACTTGCAAGGTATATTCAAAACTTCCCTTGAAATTCTCAATTTGACTTGTCTCAAACCGCTACTGAAGACTTGAAAGCTGACGATACTGCCGCTATGCACTGCAATTTGGGAACCTTGGCTAATCAGTCCAAGCACATAGATCCAGAATATTAGTACTTACCGATCATTTCAACTTGCAGGATTCGTTGAACAACAGTAATTGGCCACTGGTACGGGTATGCCTCTTTTTGGACTGAGAGTAACGCGTTTTTTTGCAAGCTTGGTACCTGATAAGATCGTTTTTCAAACAGTTAAAAAAGAGATTGCCTCGACGGAAACGATTCAACTCATAAGAAATGAATGTACCAATCTCTTGTCATCAGCCATCGCATCTACCTCTCATGATTCACCATTGATAATACTTCAAACTTGACTCGCCGTGAACGACATCAATTCCATCTGACAGCTTGCATGGGGTATACATTCAACGTTCGGATGAATCAAGATTATCTCAGATGTTGAACAGAATGCCCCGCAACTAATATTTCGCAAGCTATCTCCAATCGTTTGATTTCCATGTCACAAATGTGAAGACAACAGCGAAGGAGAATCCAGAACAAGCACAAGATAATCGGCTTATGCGGGACTGAAAGCTGTACAGCAGGTTACCTTTGGGACCAGTTAGGACTCGGATACTTGCGCTGGAAAAATGACACGCGTTTTTGAGAGATAATCTACGAGGACCGAGATCTAATAGGAAGTGATCAGCTATGCGGGACCGAAAACTGCCCAGAATGTAATGTTTTGTGGCGACTTGGGGCTTGGATACTTGCGCTGGAAAAATTGTTGCGTGTTTTTGAGTATTACGATCATCCGAGCTGATAGATTAGAAGAGCACAATCCATTGACTTTGAATGAGAATATTGACGGGGACTGATATAGAAGTTGCGTAGAGGCCAAGTCAAAAAGTTGTTCATGTTGTCTAAACGATGTAACTCAACGGACCGTACGCGATTTGGACCTTACGCGATTAACAAAATCGATATCAAGATGAACGATGAAAGTCTCGATACACTAGAGTGCGCTGTCAGTCCGAGCTTCGAACGGTAAAATCTGTAAATGTATAGGTAAACCTTCTCATTCTGCCCACAAAAAGAGCCGCGCTGATACAGAATAACTCAATTCTAGGAGGAAAAAGGTGCGAGCAACATGACTGACTGATTTCCAAACCAAGGAAAATCCGACCACGATTGTCTGAAAACACTCTGGTAAGGTAGAATTTTGAATCCATTGATTGATCACGGCCGATGAGTAGCCCCCCTGTAACTACTCCTAGCTTGTCCAAGCTCCAATAATGACAGAGATAAGTCGTCGTTATCAAAATGTTTACGAAGACTCACTAAGCTTGAAGGGCCCATAATGGAACTAAGGACTTTTTTCGAAACAAAAAAAGAAAGAAAATTGCGCGTTCAAAAGATTTCAAAGATTATACTCACTTTGAACATTCCGAGAATAGATGAACAGAGGTAGCTGATCATGGGCCCGTATGTTCTGTAGAAAATGCTAGTTGGTGATCTGGTTCGATAGCCCACCTCCTCGTCGAACGAAGGCCTATCCGATGATCGCCGTTCCAGATGAAACTGGAAAAAATAAACTCCTGATTGATCACAAATAGACCAAACATAAAAAACGATGCGTTGGGCAGGCAGAATTTTTCCTCAAGACTGAAGCTTGGGAACCGAAATTTCCGAAATGAATCTCTGAGCTACAAATTTCCTCCAATGCGGTACCGCTAGGTATTGATGATGAGACGAACAAATTATAAGGCTATCAATCTGGAAAGGTCAATGTAGACTGATAGCTTCCCATAATTTGTCCTTCTCTTCATCAACACCTGGCGGTGCTACTATAGGGAAAATTTGTGCAAGAAAAGCGGTGGTTGAAGAAGTTGAGAATGAAGAAAATGAAGTTCTACTGGTGGCGCGAGGGGTTGGGATACTGAAGCTGACTATATGTATCATTCATATCTTGATGGTGACGCGTAAACATTATCCTGGGTGAGTGTAAATGTGAACATTTGTGCTCCGTTCCTTATACATACGCTGATGACGTGCTTTTTCTGATACATGCGCAAACAGTTCTGCCAGCACCAGAATCTGGGGTCCAGACTCGCTGATTTTTGAGAAGATTCCACGGAACTGAGCATTCAGAGAGGTCCCAATTCTTTTGGGGACAAGTACCCCAATTGCCACCGGTTCTTGCAAATTATAATAAATCAACAGAAAGTGAATGTGACAAGATGCTTTGATATTGCAATAGTCCCTTTGAATGAGTAAGTTTGGGGGCTATGTGCGCTCATCACCGGTAGAGCCTGACTCAATACTCCCTATAGTACATCTCAGGTCACCTTTTCCAACCCGTGGGTCCTCTTTTTCCATGATGTGTTTCATACTGTCCTAAGTCTGCCTAAATGGGGGCTTATACATACGACATTTGATGGATTTTGTTTCTAGGTAGCACTATGTAATAGATTCAGGCGAGTATGTAAAGCGGTGGGAACCAAGTTTGAATCCAGCAACTATGGAGTGCGGCGTTTAGGGGCGATATGCTCTGAAAGTGCTTAAAGGTGTCCAAGGGTGCCCAGCACTTCATTGAAAGCACAATACAAAAGTATGGAGAGCGGCTATTGTGAGGCGATTGCAATGCTCAACCTGCCAAGATGCATTCAGAGCACATATGAAGGTGTGCGCCAGTGCCCTACGGGGACGTTGTCATTGTCACGTTGATCAGGACACTCATCTTCGCTTATATGTAGAATCTATCGAGTCCGCTGAACCCAAGCATCAATCAGACACAAGGAGGCTCCATGTTGAACCTTAAATCATCAGCGGTATCTTATTGGAAACCCGTAGGTATTTAGAGACACTTAAGACAGTTGATCTCTTATGTATATGGTTGCTTAATTGGAAATCTGGGTGATCAGCAATACCGCGGTAACCGGTCGGACCTCATCGGTGATTCGGTACGATCATGCTCCGGTCGATTTGGCCGCCTGACAGTGGTACGGTTGCGTCTTCTATGGGGATATATCGAGCAGGTCCACCGGGATGTAGCCTCTTGAGCATCACGATAATCAGTGATAGAGCCAGTTCACGCACAGTGATACCACAAAGGTTGTAAAAAGCAGCGGAGTTGACACACCGCTCCGAGTCACCCAGGCGTCGATAGGCTGTAACTAACTGCCCCTGCGACGGGCAAGTCCTCCTCAGGCTGACATTTGGTTGATCGTCACTTCACAAGAGTCACGATGTTATGTTACCTTACAACGACGCTTGAACGGATCTCGTGGTGACACGTGGGTGATCGGGTGAGCAGCGGCAGCATGCCCTTCTCTTTTCTGCTGACACTGACAGCAAACCTCTGAGAATTCCTTTTTTGTGATGGAAAATTGCTAACTTGGCATCACCTCCCCCCCCCCTGGTGAGAGCTTGTGACCTGTGTGGTAATGGCCCCAAGGTATGTGCTTGTGAATTATGTCGGATATCCAAGGAAATGTAGCTTTAAATTCCTGAAGTGGAGGAAAATTTGTCGCTGCCGGATCACATCACCTTTTCCTTGTCCCACAGCAGCAACCTCTCTACGGTTAGCTGGTGAAAAGTTTAAGGCTAGATAGAACATTCATTTCAGTAAAAGAAAGAAGAAATAATGATAAAGAAATAGTAGAATGAAAGTTACCTAGATAGAACAGGAAACACGCTAAGGATGAATTGATAGAAAGAGAAAAGAATATGACTGTCACAAGACTAGGTGGAAAGACTTAAAAAATAAAGATAACAGTTAGACAATGATCGATGACAGTGATGAGATGGTTAGAATAAAAAGAAATAAGAACCTGTAAAAGTCGACCTAGAGACAGAATCCTTGGCGAAATGAAAACCACAAGAGTGAAGTGGATAAGTAGCTTGAGGTTATAGTCGAGGATATTTAGGAAGATAATAAAAGGTAAGTAGCTTGAGGTTATAGTCGAGGATATTTAGAAAGATAATAAAAGTTGATAAGATAATGAAAAATGGTCAACAGAAAGAAGATCAGATGAAGAAAACAACAACTAGCGGTCAACAACATAAAGAAACTAGGCTGTGTAAGATCACACAATTATGACATCACAAATGTATGCGCCGGTACCCAGAATTCAACACACCCCCATGCACCAAACCGTCAAGGTGGGGGCATACCGGCGCGAAGAACCTTAAGAACTTTGAAGATCGAACTACGGCCAATAGATTTTGTGAGAAAGTCGGCCAACATCAGATGAGTACGTTTGAATGTCAAGATAACGTTCTTTGCAATGATTTCGGCTCGAATAAAATGGAAGCGAAGGTTCATATGTTTTGTTTTGAATGCTGAGTGATTTGATTCATTGTTGGCTAACAAAATGGCTCCTTGATTATCTTCAAATATCTCAAGAGGAAGAGACACCGGAAGTTTTAGCGCAGAGTCAATAACCATTTTAAGCCAAAGTAATTCCTTGGTTACTTCAGTAATCGCAATGTATTCAGCCTCTGTCGAAGAAAGAGACGTCGTAGATTGTTTCTTTGAGCGCCAAGAAATAAGATTATTGTTCCATAAAATAAGATAACCGGTGGTAGATTTAGCAGTGATCTGACAACTAGCCCAACTTGCATCCACGTAAGAAACAAAGTTGACTTGGTCGATGGGAGTTGAACGTAGGGTAATCCCAAAGTCTTTTGTTCCTTTCAAATACCGCAGAGTATGTAGTGCTGTATACCAGTGAAGGATACCTGGATTCTTGAGAAATTGAGACAAACAACCAACTGTAAAGGTAATATCAGGTCTAGTTGTTACACTCAGATAGTTGAGTGCACCAACTAGACTACGATAATTCACTTTTAATTTTTCTAGTTCAGCAATTTCAGATTTAGAGGCTTTGACCAGATGTACGTTAGGTTTCATCGGAGTAGCCAAGGGGACTGCATTTTGACAGTTGAATTTAGCAAGTGTACTATTGATGTAATGTGTTTGAGTAAGGTGAACGCTAGAGTCTGATTGAGTTACTTTCATACCGAGGAGATGCTTCGCACTGCCAAGATCTTTGATTTTGAACCGCTTACGAATCAGATCTTTAAAGACATTTGGCTCGGGACTGAAGATTGCAATGTCGTCAACGTGAACATAGAGCCAAGTGTTAGCGGACCAGAAAACGCAAGGTTCCGCATAGCTTCGATTGAAACCAACAGATAATAACCAAGACGAAAGAGTAAGATGCCACTCTTTTGGTGCCTGTTTCAAACCGTAAAGTGCCTTTTTTAAAAGCAAAACTTTGTTTGAAGGAACATCAATGCCAGGCGGAGGATTAAGCGTAATTC